TTAAAAACATATATTTAATTATAGCATCCCTTGATTTGGTAAAATTTAAAAACGCGCACTCTTGCGCATTTAAATTATTATTTTTACTGTTACTTTTCAAATTTACTTTACCCCACCTGTTTTATTACATTGTGTGAAATGGTCTTTTTGACTTACTGTGCACTTGATAATTTGGAAATTGATAATTTTGGAAAAGTTTGTAAAGGTGAGTGTGTAAAAATGCATTTGCACAAGAAAAGCTGTAGAATTTATACAACGGGCTCAATCAGGGATGGCCTACTGCGAGGTCTACTGACAACAGTCAGCTAACAATAAGCAGCTCGACGACACATGAAGATAATTGAATACGAACCTACTAGTAGTACTAGTAGTATATAAAGGGGTTTTGTGATTACTACAAACATTCCCAACTGTTCACCAACACTAGATATTGATAGATCTAAATATTTACAGATAAATAGTAGCTACAACTTTCATTACATACAGGGTGATTCCTATAGTACCTGCCACCGTTTTGGAGCGTGTAGGTGGTGCGTAGGGGAGTATTTTGATATAGGACACTTGGGGTCGGAAATCTAAAATAAGGGTGCCAGAGCCAAATTTACCTTCTGGAATTTCGCGCCTGTAGGTAGGCAACCCAACCGGCCGGCGGTGCACACGGAGCGATCTCAGGCGGCGATGTGTGGCTGACACTTGATCAGAATTTTGTTTAAACCCACGAAATCCCGTCTGCAACGACGCGTATCAAGTGGATAAACACTATGGCACGTTTTACTAACACGGAATACGCGGACATGCACTTCATGTACGGATTGGCAAATGGTAACGCACGAGCTGCACGACGAGCGTACGCTGAGCGGTATCCAAACCGTCAGTTACCCTGCAGACAGGTCTTTCAAGAAGTTCACTTCCGACTGTGCGAGACAGGGCAATTGCAGGTAAGCTGACGGAGGCTTAACTTTACACACAGATTCGTGATGCACATCGATACTTGGGTCATTTAAGCACCCATTTCGAAAAGTTTGTTTGTTTACACCGACCTCCTCCTATTTCGCAGCCCACTAGCGCCCGTGATCGCGATCGCCCGTTGGTAAATGCCTTAGAGGAGGATGTGTTGGAACGTTTCGAGGCAAACCCGCGTACTAGCACTCGACTTGTAGCAGATCAGGTGGGTTGTAGTCAACACACAGTGTGGAACATCGCCAACAACAACAACTTACACCCCTATAAGTTTAAGAAAGTGCAAGAGTTACGGCCGGGTGACCATGAAAGGAGGCTGGAATTCTGCAACTTAGTCGTCCAGGAGGAAGAAGCTAATCCGAACTTTCTGAGGAGCGTGCTAGTTACTGACGAGAAAGGATTCTCAAGAGAGGGGACCTTCAATCCTCGTAACAGCCACTACTGGGCGGAGCACAATCCTCATGAAACGTTTACGCGAGGATACCAGGACAAGTTTTCTTTAAACGTTTGGGCTGGCATCCTGGGGGACAACCTACTGGGGCCTTACATCCTCCCTCCGCGTCTAAATGCCCATAATTACCTGATTTTCCTGCGCGAGGTGCTACCAGAACTTTTAATGGATGTTCCAGTGAACTTGTACTGGGACCACTGGTTCCAGCACGATGGGTGCCCTGCTCACTACGGGCGGCAGGTGAGGGAACACTTGGACCAAACCTATCCGGACAGATGGATCGGCCGTGGAGGTGCGGTGGAGTGGCCTGCCCGCTCGCCCGACATCACCCCATTAGATTTTTACTTGTGGGGTGTGATGGAAGCGCACGTCTACGAGACTCCCGTCGAATCCGAAGAGGACTTAATTGCGCGCGTCGTCATGGCCGGAGAGGCTGTTCGCCAGGACATAGGAGTCTTCACGCGAGTTCGAGGGGAGTGGTTGGCTAGATGTAGGAAGTGCATTGAGAACAACGGTGGCCACGTTGAACACTTGTAAACGTTATTGCTTTTGACTGTCGTTTTCCCTCCTTCCCTCCCATGTCGCTTCCTCGCGCTAACTCGCTCTGCATCGCTCCGCGCGAAACGTCGGTCGGTTGGGTTGCCTACATACAGGCGTGAAATTCCAGAAGATAAATTTGGTTCTGGCGCCCTTATTTTGGATTTCCGACCCCAAGTGTCCTATATGAAAAGACTTCCCCTAGGCACCCCCTATACGCTCCCAAACGGTGGCAGGTACTATAGGAATCACCCTGTATATT